ACTTGCTTAATTTCGTATAGTACATGTCTAATTATAGTTAATAATCTAACAACTATCTGGTATTTGGTTTATACGTTCAACATTTATGTAGTTTAATTGATTTGTAAATATGATATGAGATATTGATATGCATTTATTAGTTATTTGTTGATAAAAATCTGTATGTGAAAGGCTTTCTAGTTACCCAAGAAAAGGGCGGATAGACGCAGTACATAAAAAACTCTACCGTGAACGTTACATCAGTCAGACAGGGTTGAAAAGTCTCTTAGCAGAAAGGTTTGGGAGATATGGTTTACCTTCATACTGTACGGAGTATCGAGGCGATGAAATATTTGATGCCCATTATCAGACAAGGTATGAGGACGGCTGATCAATTGTAAAATTAGATATTGGGTTCACGAGTAGAGGAGACATCCCTATGGACCCCCAAGGGTACTAGTAAGCAGGTAAGAAAGAAAATTTATTATCTCTTGTTCTCCTATGCGTGAAAGTGAAAAGTGGTATGGATATGAGTTTTCATAGGTTGTTTTTGGAAAACTCATTACCGTTAGAATCAAACAAACATTTTCAAGTTTGTAGGTATTTAAATAAAGCAAAGGCTCTATTAGTTTTTTTTTTTAATACCAATTTTCAGTTTTTCGTATATGTTATTAGTATGATATTTTCATTGAAGTAGTGTACCTCACCATTTCATTAACTATTTCAGATTAAGAGAATCATGATCTAAATTTCGATCAGCAAGAGAGTTGTGAGTAGTTCACCACCCAGACTCCCTTCAAGTACTAGTGAATATTGTCTTATGGTACTTTTGTATTCGCTCTTCTTTTTATTTCTTTAATTACCGTTTGTCTTTCAGAAAGAACATTTTTGTAACCCTATTGGGTATTCTAAATTACTGTGTAAAAAATTTAAACATCAACTCTATTAATCGCTTTCGCATTTAATTTTATGAATTCATTTCCCTTTAAGGTTTTGAGCCTTTACATTATAGAATAATGAGTGGAACATACTTACTTAAATTACATACACTCAAATTAAGTAAAATAACTTAAGTTTATTAATCATAACAGAATCACAGAAGTATTACATATCGTAAATATAAAACATAAACATATATAAGACTTTAAATTTATTTGTTTACATTACTAAACAAAAGTACAAAATAGTAACTTTAATATCAAAGTATAGCTTCAAAAATTTTATCCATATCACTGCTCACTCTGCAATGGTATTTTTGATATCTAGAGGGTGATAAGGGAGGAATGAGATAAAATATCCCAATAAACAATATTATGAATCATAACATAGTACATGCAATATATGGTTTCTTTACACACAACAAAACATATATCTCATAATCTTTCTAAAACAGATATACGGATCATAAGACGAATGCACAAATCAGAAAACAGATTCACAATTGCTTCGTTGTATACTTCGTCACTATTATGGAGGATCAATCAGTTATTATATATTATGCATGGACATACATACTTATCACTAATTCCCTATGTACCCAAGTATGAAACTTCATACATGAGTACCTTGAAACACTGTTACTCTCCAAGCATGGAACGATTAGGGCACGCAAATCAGACTGTTTTTCCATACACCTGAACACAAAATAGTTATGTATGGGTATACATTTATCATTTTATCGATACACCCGAACATGAACAGTTATATACGGCTACATTAAAGCCTAGTATAACACATGTGCTTTCAAAATAATTTTTTTTTACATAATGAGTGATGCACACATATCAAAATTATATTTCGAAAATAAAAAAGAAATAATATTTATATCAAAGTAAAAGTTTAGTAAATACTTACTTAGTAAATACAAAAGATAATTTGAACACTTTTACATTTTTATATTGAAAATACGTAAAATACTTCAGAACTATGCAGACTAATAAATCTATAATATCCACTTACCTTAGGTCTTTAGCAGTTACAATCTTAATTCCGGTAGAGTTCCAACTTTATTTATGACTTTTTACTTTTACAAATACGACAGAGTTTTAAATTGATTTCTAGTCACTTTTTTGACTAAAAAATATTCAACACAATACTCAAAAATTAATTTCAAAAATTAAAGAGAAATATAACTTTAAAACTTAAGAAAAAACTTACATTTCTAACGATTTATAACTTTCTTTTGACGGTTAACCTTCTTCTTCTTTTACTCTCACGAATTTAGTAGAGTTTCTATATAAAACCTTATAATACTCTTGAAAATCACATACTTCGTACTCCTCATTCTTTCATCACCTCTATATTTTTTTATTATTTTTTTATAATTTGAAATGTATTTTTCTCTCTTCTCTCATCCTCTATTTATA